AATAAAACTATATTGAGAGAAGTAACTTCAGGGAAAAGTCCCTACCTCTGAGATTTTGGACTTGGTTGAACTTGGTGGATCTCTCCATCCAACAGTTACTGCCAAACACAGGAAACTGAGAAAATGCTTCCTTGTCACTTCACAGCTCAAGAAATCATCCTTGGAAAAGTTCTGGCCCAATAATTCAAGTCTGAAGTAATTTCAACCAGAAGATGATATAATAGATCTTAGTTTTAAGTTCAAAGAGATGACACTTGATAAATGAAAGATAATAAAGCTAGCATTATTAAATGATTTATCAAGACTCGGTACTGTTGAACAATTCTGTACATGGAAATCAGATTTAACTCCATTTTTAAAAAAATTACTTGAAGAAAAGGTAAAGAGCAAGGAATTCACATTATGCAATGTGTTTATATAAAGTCTTACTTAAGCCACAGTGTTCACAGTAAATCCTGACTCTTACAGCTCTGAGATGATTCTGACATGCCTGTGTGAAATACAGACACACAGGTGAAGCCAAACATACTTCGTAATTCCAACTGCAGGAAGGGGCACCGGGTGGCTCAGTGGGTTAAGCGTCCGCCTCTTGATATGGCTCAGGCCATGATCTCAGGGTTGTGAGATCGAGCCCTGCATCAGACTCTGTGCTGGGTGTGGAGCCTTCTAGAGATTCTCTCTCTCCCTCTCCCCTCCAGGCACCATCCCCCCCCAAAAAAAGAGAAGAAAGAAAAGGAAAAACAATATACAAACAAAAAGCTGCAGGTTGTATGTATATGATTCAATCTGTTTTTGGCTCTTTCTAGCTTTGAACTTTGAACTGAACTTTGACAGTATCTATCCTCTCCGGTATTCAATTTCCTCATCTAAAAGATGAAGGCACAGTCATAATAATTTTAATTCTCATGAGGAATAAATGAGGTAATTTATATAGAGATCTTGGTACACAATTCCTGGAGTAAAAATAGGGCTATGTAAATGTTAGTTTTAAATGATAACTTTGATTATGATGATAATAATAATAATTATAAACCTGAAATTGAACAGCTATATATAGCCAGGGAAGCATTTTAATATGAAGCCAAAAATTAAGTGGAATCAAAAGGAAACATTCTAATTGAAATCTTCTTGAAGGTTGAGATAAATTGATAGCAATTAAGATATTATGAGAAAGATATCAATTTTTTCTTGGTGATTAGTATATTGTGATAAAAGAGTATTTGCTACATGAATCATATTCTTCTAATCCATGTGACTTGAGCATAAGATGCATGGATGCCCACTTGTCAAGTTTCTTAATAGGGAGACACTTAAGGGGAGGCAGAAAGATGGTTAGAGGGCTCCTCTTTGATTTGCAGTGACCTATAGAAATATGTCAGATGGGGAGGTCCAAGTAATCTTTAGGTCTTTTGGTGGAGTGATTTGACATACTTTGTGTGTGTGTGTGTGTGTGTGTGTGTGCGCGCGCGCGCGTGCTTGTGCCCACACTAGTGAGAAAGAGAGGGATTGAGACAGAGAGAGATAAATTTGAGAGCAACTGTGTCCTTACTTACCCAGCTGTAATGGCCCCATGGTAGACGTTATGACTTATGTTAAACCATGATATGTTTGATTTTTATATATTACTATATTACTTTAAATAAACGTTGATCCTCAAGCAATTGATTTGATAAAGACTGGGCGACAAACTTGCTCATTTTCCCTTTTTTGTTCACTTGGTCTCCCTGTGGCTGGTTTTCTTGAAGCCTTAATGATGGCGGGCATGTCATTACATCTCTCATAGTTTCTTTAAAACCAGCAAGTGGTACTCGATGATCTCAGAGACTGCTCCCATCTGTCTAGTTCTGTAATTCTGCGATTCTTACAGGTAAGATCTCATGTGTGACTCTCACAGGCTTGCATCTTGGACTCTGTGGTTGGTTGTTGGTCCACTTGTTAGTGAAGCCTTTTTCTATTTTCTCTCTCTCTCTCACTCTCTTTTGAGATTTTATTTATTTATTTGTCAAAGAGGGAGAGAGGACGCACAAGCAGGGGCAGCGGCAGGCAGAAGAAGCAGACTCCTGCCTGAGCAGGGAGCCTGATGCGGGACTCGATCCCAGGGTTCTGGGATCATGGCCTGAGCTGAAGGCAGACATCTAACTGACTGAGCCACCTAGGCGTCCCCTTGAGGCCTTTTTCTTCACTTGGAAATGAACACTTACCTTGCCTCTGAGCTGCCAGGAGCCTTTTACTTGTAAAGCTAACTTGTCAGAAATGCTTTAGTTATTGGAAACGTGATGCACAGTCCCTTTGCACAGTGGAGGTGTGGTGTCCTACGGCCCTTGTGCATTTGTCCTCCCATGGTGGGTTCCCTTCAGGCTAATGAACGGTTGCTTAGTGTTATTCATGTTTACACACTTATACCCTTATTATAACCCAGCCTGTTTTCTGGAAAGTGAGTGATAGTCAAACAAGACATTATTACTCTTTAAAATGTATTTCTTTTGTAAAATCTGCACCATGTAGCATCTTAACCATGTTGGTATCTTTCCTTTTTTGGTGCCACTCTGGCCTTTTCCCCTAATGACTTTCTCATGAATGCCCACTTCTTTTCACTGCTATTTATGTTTGTTGCCTGTTTTGATTTTCTTAGAGCCTTACTGGATCGTTTCTTTGTTTCAGACATCATGTTCTCATGAGAAAAGCAAACATACCCCACGTGACCTGGGACTGGCTCTGTTTCTGGAACTCAGGAAAGCTTTTGCTTCCTGTCATCAATGGGTTTTGAGCATCTGTTTATATTCTCCTAGATTCCTTTCTGAGTGGACAACCCATGAAAGAGAGGTGTTTGGGAGCTTGTGGAGGTCATAAATGAATATGAATCATGCTCTTAATAATAAATTCCTTATAACTTCTTAATAGCAATAGTAAGAACTATAGTGTATGGATTTGGAGCCTGTCATTTTTAGTGACGAAGCACGCAGACATATAAAACCCCTTTTATTTGGTCATGGCTTGCAATGTGGCTCTTGAAGAACTAGCAAAGAGAACAGTAATGGACCCAGAACACTTTTCATATGGTACCAGTTAAGACAGCACTAATCAGCATTAAAATAAATCATTTGGCCTCTCTGGACCTCCATTTAGTCATTTGTGGGATATAGTAGTAGGTCTGGAATAGGCTTTCTCACCTCATCCTCAAGACCACTAAGACTCGGGCAATGGGAGTTGTGCGGGGATTGTGTGGGGGTTTAAATTGTGCATGAGGGCACAAATGTAGTCATTAGGGTTGTTGTATGTGGGGGTGGTGTGGGGTGGTTCTGTGTATTGGAGCATGTCTAGAAGCATCTGTGGCCCCTACCCAGTGAGTAGCACTCCCTTAGTTGTGACAACCAAAATGTCCCCTAGGGAACAAGATTGCCTCTGTGGAGAATTACTGGCCTAGAATCACATATATTTAAAAACATAGAACAAAATAATATGAATCCAAGAGTTTGTGGGCATAATCATCAAAGTTTTATGACAAAATTTCTTCTGAGAGTCACATAAATGAAGAACAGTTTATTTCACTTTGCCTCCTTAGAAGCCTTTCTTCATAAGTTTTTTAAAAAGATTTTATTTATTTATTTATTTATTTATTTATTTATTTGTTTATTTATGATAGAGAGAGAGAGAGCAGGAGCAGGGGAGCAGAGGGAGAAGGATTGCAGGAAGCAGGCTCTCTGTGAGCAGAGAGCCCTATGTGGGACTCAGTCCCAGGACCCTGGGATCATGACCTGAGCCAAAGGCAGACACTTAACCAACTGAGTCATCCAGGTGACCCTCTTGATAAGGTTTGAATACAGCTATGAATTTTTTCCTTTAATTAAAATTTGAGAACTCAGTTATCAATGTGTAAAAGAAAACACAGGAGAGACACCTTTGAACAAATAATGCTTTATGTGTGTAGACTAACACACAGAGTTGGGACGAGGAGTGGTTACTCAACATAGGCATTAAAAATAAGTTCTGGTATTTAAGAGACATTCTAGAATATTGTTGGATGGTGGACGGATGATGGATCTGCTATTACTCATGTGGTTTTGGGAACAGTATTTCATCAGTGACAAAAATAGTGGTCATAGAAACCAAGGAAAGAGGTCACTGGAGAACCCCTTTCATTCTTCCATGGGTCCCTCCTGGGTCCCTGCCTGTGTCTGCTCTTCCACAGCATTTTCTTCTACTTCTCTCCCCAGCCCTATATCCTTACTTGCTCCCCCTGTCCTTTATATTTGTTGCCTAGATCGATTGTATTGGAACTTTTCATATTGTATCATTTCTTTGTATCAGATATCATGATCCTATGAGAAAACAAAACCTACCACTTTGACTGGGAACCCACATCTGGGCATTCTGAAGTAAGGACTGAATCATTCATTCCTCTCTGGTTGTTTGAATCAAAACTAGTGACGTGATTCCCGTTCTTCTTTGAAAATCACTTATGACTCAATTTCTAGAGTCCCATGTCTTTCTTTGATAATTTCTTCCAGAACAATTCAAGTTTTTGGTCAGAGGACCCTGTGTCGACAACTGTGATGGATGGATTTTGCTGGTGCCCTCCTAATGGTGTTATTGATCTGGCAAAGGAAAGTGTTTCCTCTCTTTTATAGTTAAAGAAATCGAGGCCTGGGTTTGTTCAGACAGAAAGCTTAATGTCTACAATAAGCAAGTAGTTATACAGGGGTTAGAACAACTGAGCCCAGATCTGTGGCACCAAGATGGAAGACAGAATTGAGGCATGATACATAATTTGATACAGAATTAATTTTATGGTACTAGAAGATTGAAACTTTTTTTGGTGCTTTGTTTAAAATGATACTAAATGATAATTATCCAAGGTGGTTACTTTACAATACCACAGCTTTGATTTAATGGGACTAGCTTCTCTAAAATGGACAAACTACGTAACGTTGAATGTCGAGAACTTTCTTTAGAGTTTTATTTTAGTAAATGTTGCTCATGACCTGCTTTTTCCTCTCTAGACCTTCTCTCACCATGCCTCACAGGAACCTGACAGGAAGCTGCAATGTTAATTGTGGTTGTAAGATACACGAGTACGAGCCAGTCTGCGGATCAGATGGAATTACATACTTTAACCCTTGTCTGGCTGGCTGTGTTAACAGTGGTAATCTTAGTACTGGGGTGAGTATTTTTCGCAAGTTCCTGTACTGTTGTTGATCCAACATCCTGTGACAAGGACATGTTAGGATTCACAGGCTAACACGTGGCTTCCATTCCTCTTTTCAAGAAATTTCAAATAACCTACAAAATACATCTTGACAAAAAGCCAGAGGAAAGAAAATTATGCAATGCTATCATTTTCTTCAGGGATGAAGGGAGCATGTGGGTGCAGTGACTTATTTCCACATCAGCCCTCTCCCACTTCACATTCTGTGCCAACTCAGTGAAACGTGAGAAGGTTGAATGCTAGGCCTCTCATTTCTTACTCTGCCAGGGCCCTTGTGATGCATTTGAAGGTCAGGATGACCACATTTGGTGCTGGCAGAAGAGAATAGGTGAGCACCTTCTCTGATCAGAGTCTGCGAAGATGGGCAATGGCCATTTTTCATAGAATATGAGTTCAAACTTTCTTTTTCTTTCTTTCTCTCTCTTTCTTTCTCTCTCTTTCTTTCTTTCTTTCTCTCTCTCTCTTTCTTTCTTTCACTTTCAGAGTAAAGATATTTCTGTCAGTTCAAGAATAGGCTATTTTGAGAATTCCCTTCCCTGTGAATTATAAATAAGCTGTAATACTGTGGGAGGTTTTCATATTCTACTCAGTTCTTTACTGAGCCTGATTTCATTCTTTGCATAAGGACAGATTGTAGGAGGCTGCTTTAATTAAAAAGTTAAGGTGCATTGGCTTGTATTGTGTAGGTGTTAAGGGATTAGACCATTGACGGTATGTTTTGGGTTTGTCATATTTGATTTCTGAGTTTTAAGCTATACTGATAAATGGAGCCTGTTGCTGGCTCCCCATTATATAATTGGTGAGTGCCAAGTTGGAAGAGACAACAAGATCTGTTCTCAGTGGCTAAGTCCTTCCCTGGGAGTGAGCGAGGGAGTCCTCTAAGGCACAGTCCTCATTCTTAAAAAGAGGCCAGCAGTCCCTGAAGCACAGATGGTCAAATGGAACCCATTCTCATATTTGTTGCTACTGCTTCTCTAAGTGGCTGAGAGCTCACAGTGACAGGGAGTTCAAGCCTGATGTCTGTTCAGTAAAAACAACCTAAGAGGCAGAAAGATTCATTGGTTGCTTTTATTTGAAATACCTTTTTAGGTCCTTGAATTAGCTTTTTTCAAACGAAACAGTCAATGATATGTTCCCTGGTCTTGGCCTTGGAGTCATCAATGGCTGCATCGCGTGTTCTCTGCATTTATTTAACAAATATTTATGTTAGGTCCTACGCTGTGTCTAGGCTGATGCCAGGGGCTCTGGTGGGCACAAGTAAACAGAAAGCTTGGTTCCTGTTTTCGAGGGGCTTCTTTAATCAGACAGCAATACCCTGTGCAATTGCACAGAAGTGGGAGCAGGATATAGTTGTGACCAAAATGAGCATATGGAATGTGAACGCTGTGGAACAGAGTGCTGAAAGCTCCTTATAAAAGTTAGGTTTAAACGATTTGGCCAGCAGACACTGTTGGATGCACACTTTAGATCATTACTGTTAGCAAGGAGGCTGTATTTTCAGTTAAATATTATGCATATTTTTTAAAATTTAAATTCAGTTAGCCAACATATAGTACATCATTAGTTTCTGATACAGAGTTCAGTGACCCAACAGTTGGGTGTGATACCCAGTGCTCATCATATCACTTGCCCATCTCCCAATTACCCCATCCGCCCCTATCTACCTCCCTTCCAGCAGCCCTCGGTTTGTTTCCTAGAGTTAAGAGTCTCTCATGGATTGTCTCCCTCTCTGATTTCTTCCCATTCAGCTTTCCCTCCCTTCTCCTATGAGCCTCTGTTGTGTTTCTCATGTTCCACATATGAGTGAGGCCCTATGATAATTGTCTCTCTCTGTTTGACTTATTTTGCTCAGCAAACATTACCCATCCTTAAATACTAGAGCTATTTTAGAGCATTTGACTTCGTCCTAATTTTCCTATGCTTTAGGTTGGCTCACAACCCATCTTTGCTATTCCTTAGATAAGGAATTACACAGAATGCACCTGTGTCCAAAGCCGGCAAGTGATCACTCCACCCACGGTGGGACAGCGCGGTCAGCTCCGTGTGGTTATTGTCAAAACCTATCTCAATGAGAACGGCTATGCTGTGTCCGGGAAGTGCAAACGAGCCTGCAATACCCTTATCCCATTCTTAATTTTTCTCTTTATCGTCACCTTCATCACAGCATGTGCCCAACCGTCAGCCATCATAGTGACACTCAGGTGAGAACAGCACTCTGCTTGCCTGGTGGCGGGGGACAGGGGTGTACACTGAGAATGGCCAGAGAACACGTTCCAAGCTGGGCCTGGTGTGGTAAGGTGGAGAGGAAAGCAGAGTTAGATTGTACGGGGAAGCACACAGACCTTTGCCTGTTGAATTTATTAAGAGAAGTGTTTTCCCAGACCAGGAAGGGAATGGAAGGTTGTAACGTTTCATACCCCAGAACGTTCTTTATTCAGATGGGTTCTAGGTTTGCAGTTTAGTGAAACTTCTTTGGGGTGCCTTTGGTTCCTGAAGTCTGTGCCCTAAATGTTCAAGTTCAGGGGCTGAAAGCTGTCACCATGTTAGCCACAAGGAGCCTGACTCCAGACGGGGCAGGAAGTCATTTGGCGAAGTCTCTAAGTCTCGCATACAGCGAAGAGTATTATCTCCAACCTGGTAGGTAGGTAGTGCCCCCAGGATCAGTGGATGTTTCATGCTGGGCCTGCAGTTCAAAATGCAGATTTCATGAATTTTACGATCATATAAAGTTTTGGAGTTGAAACAAGGAAAGGACAGACTGGGAGATGTCATTTTCCAGCTGTTCATGCTGTGTTTTATTAGGTATCCCGTTTATGGTTTTTTGCTTATAAGAGAACACAGGCGTTGCTTTAATGGAAGTCCTGTTAAAAATGTTGACACAGACCCATTCAGATCAGTGTGTTGGCATTTGCCGTAAAAGCTGCAAGTGGGCAAAGGAGGGAAGGGGACAGCATGGTGACGGAAACGCATGCCCCCAGAAGCAGCTTCAGGGGACCAGCGGAGGCAGTGCAACGAAGGAGTGAGGAGGAAAGGGAATCAGTCCTCATTCTCCCTTTACCTCTTCCCTGGCTTCTCAGCACCCCCCAGTGCTGGGCACCTGGTGGTCATACTTGCTGGGATGTCATTCTTAGCAGGACAGTTGGGCTGTTTGCTGCTGCTTCTGCACATTTTGCCTTCCTTTCTTTATGGGATACTGAGTTAGATGTATGATAACAGCACCGGGTGGGAAGGCCCGTTGGTTGAATCTCTCAATTCCTCCGACAGCGGATACTTACAGAGTGACAATGGTGTGTGCAGCATGGGGCAAATTGCTAGGAAAAGATAAGGAAGATGGGGAGAAGATGGCAGGTGCATGGGTCCTGGGGAAGTGGACATGCTTTACCTAGAACTCAACGTATATAGCACAGAAAAAATCAGGCACTTCATCATTTTAAAAAATGAATCCTTAATAATCTCATTCTTGAAACTTTAATTCTGCAAGAGATATTAAATAACCCAGATCAGGGCTGCCCATGTCATGGCAAATCACCAGCTGGCTTCTAACCCAAAACTTCAGAAAAAGAGCCCTTTAATCTTTGCTAATTACAGATCAATAGACTCCAGTCTTCCTGCCATATAGGAATTACTTGGAGCATATGTTTTGGGAAAAGAAGAAAAACATGAGGTAGTGGGAGGGATTCACTCTTTTTCTAACGTTTGACTTGTTTTGCATCCTTTCTTGGGACTCTACTTCTTTCTTTAAGTTCTTTCCTCTGTACTTTCCCTTGAGAAATTACAGGAATAACTTTCAGTCGACACACCTTCCCTCTGGAAAGTGTAGGCAAATAGAAAAAAAAAAAGAATGCAGTAGTTAGGATAAATTATCGTATCTATTTTTTGACGGAACTGATTTTATTTATTTATTTATTTTAAAAAAAAAGATTTCATTTATTTATTTGACAGACAGAGGTAACAAGGAGGCAGAGAGGCAGTCAGAAGAGAGGGGAGGGGGAAGCGGGCTCCCCACTGAGCAGAGAACCTGATGCAGGGCTCGATTCCAGGACCCTGAGATCATGACCTGAGCCAAAGGCAGAGGCTTAACCCACTGAACCACCCAGGCATCCCTCACAGAACTGATTTTAGAAGCTCAGAGCTGATTTTGCCCCTTCAACCGTGAACTTTTGGCCCTCCACCAATATTTACCCGGAAACAGAGTTAATCAGGACTTCTTTGAGTCTTCAATGGGGAGAACTCATTCACTGATTTAGCTACCTCAGCAGTCTTGTTTGGCTGTTGTTAATAAATTCTAGGAAATAAATATTTTGGCACAGCCACTCTTGCTCTCTGGCTCTGTACTAAGCAGGCTTGATTTGATGTTTGTTTTCTTGAGGCCAATGTTATAAAACATTTCTTTCTTTCCCTTCACCATAGGTCAGTAGAAGATGAGGAGAGACCTTTCGCGCTGGGAATGCAGTTTGTTTTACTGCGAACACTTGGTATGTTCCTGAATTTCCGCATGGGCCTCTTAGTTCCTCTTTACAGATGGCAAATTCTCATGGCAAGTCGATCATTTGTTACCCATAGTAGTAGCTAGGATTTTATGGGTTAGCGGCGAGGGCACAACTTTCTTATTTTCTGATTTGAACTAGAAGCTACCCAGTCCTGTCGTTTGAGGAAACAGAATACAACGGACTTTAGAACAGTTTCTTTTTCACCATAAGCATAAATGTGGGCTAAATGCCCTAGAGCATTTTTGGTACCATAAGAAATATTGAACCAAGCTATTATAGTGGGCTTATTATGATCCTGGCATTTTTGTCCCTTTATGACTTCTTTCACATGAAAGTGATGGAAATTGGCACTCGTATTATTTGCAAAGATTTTAATTTCTTACTTCTTTATGAGAATTTTATTGGGCCAGTCAAAAAGGATACCTATTGAGTTTTCTGAGAAAAGAAATTAAAAATTCTGAAAAGAAAAAAGAAATATCCCCAAATTGATACATCAGGAGTCCCCTTTACTTACGAACAAGAGAAGGTCATTAGCACGGTCTGTATATGGCAGAATTCATTAAGGCGTGAAGAACATCATTCTGATTTTGACAAACACTGTCTCACTCTGTCGTGTTTTGGGACAGTGCATGGGAAATATCTTGTGAAGTAGTCCATTGCCTTGATCAATTTCAACGTATTTTTTATTGACTTCCCCATCATCAAGCATATTTTTTCTTTGACGAGTGGCAGTCTGTCATTTTCTTCAGCTGTTGTTTCTCCCAGTAATCAGTATCATTGTCCACAAGACAAAAAAAAAAAAAAGAAAGAAAGAAAAAAAAAGAAAAAGAAATAGGTTTTTTGATTTAAATTTTTAATTTCCATTTTGAAGGGTGAAACACTTTAAAATGGTATCATTTGACCCTCTGAAACATTAATCTTCTCTGGAATTCTCAATTTATCATTACGCTGTGGTTGGTGGCCCAGTCTGGGAGTAGGGAGTTTTCTCCGGTCACCCTCAGAGGTTTCTGGTTGCATTGAGTGGGTGGCTTATTTTTTTGGTACCGATAAAACTCTGAAGTTCCCATTTTTCAAAGCCAGCTGGCGAAAGGAAATTCTGGCATGCTTTGATTTACTTAAGAAGCTTGCCTTATACTTCCTGTTGAAAACTAAAAAGTTGTTTTCAAAGAAGGAAATTTGTTTAGCGAAGGGGTAGTTGAATAGGAAAAGAAAAAAATAGGTCCTCCTTTTTGCTCTGCTTGTCTTTGATGTCATGGAGCTGGGGTAGTTTCATATGGAATTGGAGGTAAAGGTAAGTCAATAGAGGGTTGTCACAGTGTCAGGAATAAGTGAAAGGAGGACATTTCAGTCATCTATTTAATTCAGACTTGACTTAAGTTCTGTTGATTATGAAAAAGCTATAGTTGGGCCAACAAACCAATTTCCATTCCCCAAAATTCCAAACAAAAAGGGAATTTTAAGTATTTTAGTAATGTTAACATTTTAATTGTAATGAACATACGTCATTTGAAATGAATACAATATATTTAAAAATACATCACTTAGTCCACCGACTTCCCTTCCTTCCTCTCTTTTCTCTTTTCTTCCCCCTTTTCTCCCCTGCTCCTTCTGATCACTTCCTTGTATAAACTAATCGAGGATCCATGGGCTGTCCTGAGGGGTCCTCGGGACGCAAGGAATAAAAGACTTGGCCTCTGCCATCTAGGAAATTATGGGAGACAAATCCGCAAACACTTTCATTGCTAAGTGATAGTTGGTGCAATGAAGGTGTATACAAAATGCAGTGGGAATACAGTGGCATCTGAGTGAGTGAGGAGTTTAAAGGAGGGTTAGATGATTGTAAGGTGAACAATTTGGGGATGGAGCACATTTCAGCAAAGGGAGTAACATATGGTGAAGGAAGTCTACTTGGGTAGACTTTCTTTCTTATGGGAGTGAAGAAATGTCTATCTCATTGCCCAAACAATGAAGCTACTATTCATCACAGACGTTTCCCAAGCTTCAAAGATGAATTTTTATGCCTTAGTTATTTCCATGCCCCAAATATCTTTATACAGTTTGCCATTTGATGTGGTTTCTGGCTTATAGGGGACAGTGTTTTCCTCGTACTCTTCCCACACCTGAGGACTAGAACCCAACCCCGTAAGAACTAAGTGTACTGCATTTTAGTGGTTCATAAAGGGTCTTAGTATAGCCTCTTGAGTATTTAATGACAAAATCTGATTTTTAAGTTTAAAAGGATCGCCTGATTGAATTTTTTAGCAATCGACATTTTTACATATAACATAGAACAATAACGCATTCTAACTGAGTGGCAAATTGGAAGATTTAAAGTATTTATAATTCCGTGAACGTTTTTATAATACCTATATTATGATATAGGTATTATATTATAATTCTATATCTTATAATAAGATATCTTATTATATCTTATTATATTATAATAAGATATTATAATATTATAGTATAATAAGATGTGCCATAGTTAACACAGGCACTTAATACAAGAAAACCACTGTCCTCAACAGGTCCGAGAGCAAACAAGCACCTTACTCATCTACAAATCTGTTTTCTCTGATAAGATGGGCTAAATACCGTTCTTGTCTTCTTCTCTCCCGCTCTAGCATACATTCCGACGCCAATTTACTTTGGTGCAGTCATCGACACCACGTGCATGCTCTGGCAACAGGAATGTGGAGTGCAAGGCTCTTGCTGGGAGTACAACGTGACATCGTTCCGTTTTGTCTATTTCGGTTTGGCGGCTGGCCTCAAATTTGTCGGCTTTATTTTCATTTTCCTGGCCTGGTACTCCATTAAGTACAAGGAGGACGAGCTGCAGAGGCGACAGTGGAGAGAATTCCCTCTGAGCACTGTGAGCGAGGTGGTGGGTCACACCGACAAGGCCGATAAGTATGCCCGGACTAGATCGTGCCCGGCTTTCAGCAGCCAGGGGGATTTCCGCGAAGAGACTGGTCTGCAGAAAGGGATCCAGTACACAGCACAGACCTATCCGGGGCCCTTCCCCGAAGCAATAAGCTCCTCCCCGGACCCGGGGCTGGAAGAGAGCCCTACTGCCATGTAGCCTCCCTCCTGAAGCTTGAAAACGGAAGACTTTAGTTTTGTTGGTTGAGTTGAATATGGCAACTTGAGAAACACCCGTGCCTTCTTTTCTTTCTTTCTTTTTTTAACCTCTAAAGACGCAGTCCTCAAAAAATCCAACAAAACTCAGTATACACAGCCACTATTGAGTGAGGGCTGGATACCTCAACTAGACTGAAAGCCTTTACCCCCTTCTCTCCAAGAAGGAGGAGTTTAGACAGATTTGTTACCATTTCCGCTACGTGAATTTCATGCTCGTGCTCCAGGGTGGCATAAGGCTGAGAGGCGCCTGGTTAATGAAATCTTGGGAAGTGTATTGGCAGTACATATCATTAGCATACACTCCAGACAAAGGTGAGCTTGACCATGACTTTGCATTTACAAATCAGTTTTTAGATATGAACACCTACTGTGAGTTCCGCTACAAAGCACAAACGAATTTGCCTCAACTATGCAATTTTGATTGGGAAAATGTAAGTGCAGCATGTTACTTTTTCTTTTAAGAGACTAAAGCAGATACATTTTTGAAAAGAGCACAATAAACCTTTCCTAAAGTACTGTTATTAGCATTTTAAGCCATAGCAGAGTTATAAATCAGGTAGAATTTTTCAAATGCTTCAAAGGAATCATATGCATAGTGTGATAAAAGGAACAGCTACTTTATTTCATAAGACACTTTCTTTTTTAGTCTGTCTGCCCCATCATAAGGTAAAGAGTCTGCTGAATCGTAAATCTGATAGCTTGAATATAAACCCCGGTATTCTTTTGCCAGGGGCTTTAAAACTAATGTGCTAAACAGTATGGCTGGAACCTGATTTAAGATGCATCATAAGGAGAGAAACTGATGGCTTTCTCATCCAAAGAAAAATGCTGCAGAAATTCTTTTAGCTCTTGTGGGCCCACACAAGGGTAGCTAAGAATCGTAACCTTGACACTCAAAATAGTTGGAAAAAGAAATTCCACAGAGGTAAGACCGAGTCCCATCTGATCGTTTTAGTTATACGCCTAGAAACCCTAGCAAATCATTTTCTTTCTTATGTACAGAAAATTGCTGTGGTTGCCCCCTGAAGTTGAGTAATTAAATCAGGAAAGCTCATACCTGTGATAAGAAAATCACTCTGAATACAGGAGGAGGTGGATCTGTGAGCTGTGAGAGTATGATCCTAAGTCAGGACTGAAAATTACTTAAAATCAACTCATCTGTTATACTGAATTCCCTTTATCAGAGCTAGAACGATTTTACATCTCTCTTTGATTCTTTCCTCCTGTTAACCTTCCCGAAGTGATTCTTCGAGAGGATTTCTCTGTTCCTAAATGCACTTTGCGCTCATTATCCATCATCCTTTTGAGTTCCTCCCAGCACATCGCTTTGACTTGGGTGCCACACAGAATGCTTTCTACATGGTTCTTAAGGTAGATGCTTCCTGACAGCACTCTGGACTGACAGCAAGTTAACTCATGGGGTCTTGGTTGCTCAGAAAAAGAATCCTGACAACCCGGATGTCGGAGGGACGCGGAAGGTCCAAATACCAGTATAATTGTGAACAGTTTCTGCCAAGGAGGCTATGATTATGTAGGGGCTAATTTAGGAACTGATTTCCTTGGCTGGCTTACACTCTTCCGTAGAGGGGAAGTGAGTGACAGAACTGTCCCGTGATTCAAGCTTTCTGCCCTTCATCCTTGGAGGCGCTGGTGGAGTTGCATGAACATTCCTGGGTTCAAGGTCATTTTCCTCTCCACCTAAGAACGGTGTTGTCAAATGGTTCTTTTGGTGGCATGTGGTTTGTGGCGAGGGTTATTACTATTAGACTGAATAATGTCTGGAAGGGGTGGAGCCAGTGGTCTCAGGTGACAAGGACTTCCCTCGAAATGGTCTCATTTGGCTGAGTCGTAAGTCTGCTGTTGCCTGTAATTACACTGGTGTCTGTCCAACTTGTCTCCACATGGTATATACAGAGAACATTGTTGATTCACTTAGTGTCTACTCTGGTGCCTCAGGGTTCCCCTTTACTCTCTATGGGAGATCTTTGATCTTTTAGGTCTGTTAGAAAGTTTCCTTTTGTGTTAGAGCTGAAGATATACAGGTTGGGGAGAGGTGGTATTTGCAAAAGAATTGCATCGAGAGAATTTGGATGGAATTAGCACCTTTTTTTTTTTTTTTTTAAGCTAAGATTGTTATGTTCCAACACTCTTAGGATTTGTCTCTTCCTGGTAGTGTATTTTTTTTTTAAGATTTTATTTATTTATTTGACAGAGATCACAAGTAGGCAGAGAGCGAGGAGGAAGCAGGCTCCCTGCTGAGCAGAGAGCCCGATGTGGGGCTTGATCCCAGTACCCTGGAATCATGACCTGAGCTGAAGACAGAGGTTTTAACCCACTGAGCCACCCAGGCACCCGCTGGTAGTGTATTTTGAAAAGGAGCTGCTCTCAGAACTCCAGGGTAGGAAGTGACAGATTCTTCACGTATAATTAGACAGTCCCCTTTCTCTACACTGAACAGTCATCCATCCAGTTCAGCAACCAGTGACCAGTTCTCTATCGGGCACTATTTCAGCCAATTACCATCTGCCGCTCTGTGAAATTCTTCAGGTCGACTGGCCAAAACTCAAAGAAATTAGCCTAAATTGTACACCACAATTGTTAATATTGTACTTCTTCAAGTATGTGATACTTATAAATAGAGGGTGTATCATTCATGTGTTGTTGGTTAATGTAGAATAAGTAGTAAAAATCACAGAAGACTGAAGTTTTAGAATACGTACCAATCAAGAATTGTCCCCCAACTGCTTTGGGTCCTGGTGGCATCCTTGGAATATTGCTTAGTCAACTAAAGTGACTATCTTATAAATGGCACCATTTAACTGTAGATATGAGGTTCTCACATGTTGGTAACTTTACAGTCACAACTCCTATTTTAAATTTAATTCTCATTTTCCATGAACTTAGGCTTCTAAATACTTGTTTTGGAAAAAGGTCATCTTGTTCTTTTTTCAGCCCTGTAGATTAATGTATTATTTGGCTTCATAGGCAAATATAATATCCTTGAGTCTAGCCTATTAATTTAGAAACTCCCAAGGGGAGGGTGGGTGGTTGAAGCACATTTTTGTTATCTTCATTAGTATGAAGTCCTCTTTTAGATAGGTTTAATTCTTGAAAACTTTCAAAAGTCATTCAGAACTAAGGTCGGAGGAGAAAGGAGGAGCAGAGAAGAAACAAATTAGCTTTTGTGGAGTGTTGAGTATTTCAGAGAATTTTGTCAAGTATTTAATATACATCAGTTATTTTAATACTGTTAATAACTTTGCAAGATAACTATTTTTATTCTTTTTTTTTTTTTCTTAAACAGATCATGAAAACAGGCTCAGAGAGGCAAAGATATTTGTTTAGGATTGTACAGAGTGGCCAAGTTAGTGTTCAGAAGCAGGTTTCTATTGCCCTGGCTTGCTTCTCACACTATCAAATGCCTACAGTGGTTTTGGTTAACAAAGGCAAGTGTGACTATAATTTAGTGAGGTAAAGCATTTCATTTTTTGATGTGTTACTGTTCCTGAGGAGTAGAGAAATTATTATTCCTTTGTGTAGAATAGAAAAAAAAATTGTAGGAAACATCAAAATTTAATGTTTAGATTTTCAAGGTAAATTTACACTTATTTAGCTAAGTGTTATATTCAACATTGTCATAACATACCTCAAGTATTTATTTATAGTTCATATTTAATATAGAACAAACCAATTTTGATGTTAGCATTGGGTCTCGGTAGAATTTCTGGAATGAATCATGAGGAAATACGGTTCAGATTTATTGAATCTGAGCTCTGGGGATTTGAAGTGTATGCTTTCCTGTTTGTTTCTTCCTCTTTCACATTGTTGACATTTCCATTAATTTTTAGTGAATATGGGTTTTAAGTTTCCTAAATAAAAGTTTTAAATGAACAGAAGCAAAGTGTTACATGTTAAATGAACATAGATTGTCACTATTAGTAGTTGTGGTCACAGACGGGAGCATGTACTTGGAAACGCAGCCATCAGAGAAGGAGGAAGTCATAATGGCCATCCTGCATTTTCACGAACTACAAAGAAGATTCTTCCTCAGTCTGCAATTCTAGCTTGCATTCTTTGGTGGACTTGGAGCCAGAAAATTTCTTTTTGGAGCCTATTTTGCATCAACCAAAGAGCAGCTGCATGGTTTTTGAATGGACCTGAAGCATTCATGGAAATTCTGTAGTATGCCCAGGAGCAGTAGGAGATCCCAAATCTAGGCGGGTAGCCTATTATACTTTAAGTGTGTGTGGACTTCAGACATCCTCGATGTCACAGAAACGTGAGTCTAACTATTGCATTAGAGGGGCATACGGAGTATTCTAAGTAGCAGATGGATATCAAAATACTGTATAATCCCAGAATTGCCTAGACTGCAGGTTTGCTAGTTCTGTTCTCCAGACCAGTACGTAGCCTCTGCACGTTATTTGTAGTTCCTGTTTCCTGGTGTGGAAGGGCGTGCCATGGCGGACAGGAGAAGGTGGTAGCCTTGTGCACTTTATCTTTTCTGTTTTCTCTCCTTTCCTCATCTTCCAGGTTGCTGCTGGCTGTGTCTGTCTCAGGCTTCTTGCTACATTGGAAACAGATCTGTATATGTTTGAACAGGTCCTTTCAAGCACTTCATTTTTACTCAGCCTAAGAAAGGTCAAATAGGATGAAAACCCTCCTTGGGTATTGGCTTTTGCAACATAAAAAAAAAAAAGCCTTGGTGCTACAAGTATTTAATGATGCATGCTCACCACAAAAATGCACCACTGAATTTACAGCCTCCCTGGTAAGGGACCGCATGTGCTTTGCTTTTGGAAATCTAGAGAACGTCTCAGAAAACAAGCACTCGGTATTCTCATTACTACAGTTAGTCAATGAACTTGACACTGCAAACATGAAGACTAAGGGGGCATACCTTTTTTTATGGAAAACTCAGCGCTTTTCGTATTTCTTTTAGCAAGAATAATCAGATGCTACAAATAATTTCAGAGAGAGGGGAAAATGATTTCCATAATCTTTTCTTATTTCTTTTCCCAAAAAACTGACACCCTTGTGAGGTGTTTTTAATAATTGGGGTTTGGATGGTGTTGTCTTTTTCTGGTATTCTATTCCATGTTAAAATCAGAGGAAAAACTATCCAAAACTAAAGTAATTGCAGGGACATATTAAACCAAAGGGGGTGAACAGTTTAAACTTTGTATCTAGAAATGAAAAATAAGAATAATCGATAAAACTTTATAGTGGGCATTTTTCTTAAAATACATACCTCTACCCCAAACCCCAAATGTTAATTTAGAAGCACTTAATAGGCAGATCCGCCTCTAACTTTTCAGTTAAAGGAGATGTAATACTGTGTCAAATAAACTGGCATTAGGATCCTGGTGGAGTGTGTGTTCAGTGTGTGTGTTTTGTGTGAAAGTGTGTTGGTGATGAAAGGCCGTTTTGAGTTGTTGCATAAAGGAATTTGACTTTGTGATTTTTACAATGAATATTTATTTGGAGATCGCTTAGGGGTAATTTAAAAGATGTATAATTTCCTTGTATTTAATGAAATCTCTTGTCAATGTACTAATAAACCTTGGTTTACAACATCTTGAATACTTGATCACTGAAAATTAAGAAAAAAAAGTAAAAAAAAAAGAAAAAAGAATAAAGTGTGTTGGATTGAAATTAGTTTGTCTCTGAGCTCTCTCCTGTTGGACAGCAGAGTTTTCTAAGGCATCCAAAACTTTTTGGGTGAGAGGAGGAGGGAGGGAGAGGAGCTCCGGAAATAACAGCATGAGTCAGGGACTGGAGCACAAAGTTGTTATTTTTAGAACCTTGCCTGGAGCCCTCCATAGGTGTAAAGCAGGGCAATTGATTTCCTTTTCTCACTCAGTCACCCCTCCTGCTCCGCTCAACTAAAGGGTCACAGTGGCCCAAGATACAGGAGTGTCTGGGGGGACGTGTGTGTCTGTGCTGGTTTCTGGATAAACTTATTTTCCTCCGTGGCCTTGTGCATTCATTGTGGAGGCCATTTATGCAAAGGGAAGATAGTACCCTCTTCCCCAGTCTACGTTCTTCTCTTCCTCAATGTGTGCCATTAAGGCAATTTTGAGATTTCACTCGACTCTCTTAAATATCTCACACATTCAAGGGAACAGCAGAATCATTCCAGATAGTGGGCTTTCTGAAAGAGACACACCAGACAGTTTCTTTTTAAGAAATGAGGAGAGAGGAAAGGTTATGAATGTGGCCACTCATCAGCAGCAGCATTAGCTCCAGACTTGGTACAACCTCAGCATCTTAAGAGCTGTTAAAAAGCATCCAGTTCTTTTCTTCTTTTAAAAATTTGCCAGCTGAGTGAAGACAGCCTCTGTAGCTTTGGCATAGGGGCCGGTGGGGGGGGGGGCGGGGAACAAAAACCCCATTTTTAATTGTGCAAAGTCATTGGAGAGCAAGGAGATCAATATTTGGTGTTGACTTTTGTATTTAAACATCAAAGTCTGATGCAGTTCCAACTCATAATACCAATACACATCAGTAGAAAGCTAAAACCCTTCTTTGGTCTTCTGGAATGGCTAAGATCCTAGGTAAATGGCCAAGATCCTAGGTACCAAAGAAAGAGCAAGCTTGCCATGGATCAAGTTGTTCTAGCTGCGTTCTCGTCTAAATGTACTGCTGCTACTTCAGAAATCAATGAAATGGCAGCTTTGCCAGGGGCGCATCCTGGCTGGAAGGAAGCCTGTCATGAGTTGCACTAGAGTGACACCTAATGGTTATTATGGAAATTACATGCTTTACTAACCTCTCATCCCTTCCAGTTCTTGGGCTTGAGTTGTATGGGGCTTTTTGTGACCATGTTCATTTTAGGGTGGCAGTGACATGTCCTCTTCTGCTGAAACCCATTAGTAATTGGATTGGTTCCATCCTGGCTCTGGGTCACCTGTGCCGTTGGGGCTGGAGTTTGGATAATGAGGAAGAGGACCGGGGGTAGAAGACACAGATTCGGAATTCCTGGGTCCTGGGAGGCACACTGGTGTAGGGGCTAGAAATTCAGAATAGAGGGTAGATACCTTTGTCCACCACTTAAATGCATTTGCTATCAGAAAAGTGAGGCAATGCTCAGCACAAAAGACCTCAACATTTGTAGCTCCCTTTGTCTCCCAACCCTCTGCAGTGCTTTCCCTGACATCGGGGAGCAGGGACTCCCTAGTCTCAACAGGAAGTATCTGCTTTTTGAAAGTTATTTTCTCTGCTTATTTTACACCATAGTGGGCTCGATCTGAGGACCTAGGTACTGTGCTGGTGAAGTCCTCAGCATCAACGACACAACTTGGAGGAAGGTGAGTCAATTAGACCAGTATGAACAACAGTTGCCTTAGGCAGGTTTCTTAGGGGCAAACGGCAAGGCCATGAATGTGGCTGGTCATTTTCACTCCATCGACCTCAGAGTTGGTACAATATCCGTGTTCTCTTACTTGGGGAAAAGTAAAGCAAAAAATGGTCGAGATACTGTGTGTCCAAGAGGTGGGGGCGTTGAGGAAAATTTACGTGGAAAGAAAAGATAAAGTTTGCTAGGATAAAAGGGAAAACAAAATATGGGAATTGAAGAGTGGATAAGATTTTTACCGGTTGAAGTGGGGAATTCAGAACTGGGAAGGTGGAGCTAATTTGGGGGAAGCTGGTCGTGACAGGCGAGGTGGAGGGGGAGCGGATAGGTGGATGGAAGGCTAGAGCTTCCGGTAGGGAGAGTGTGCGTGTCAAAAATCGCCGAACATTTCTGAGCAGGAGGCTGAGATCTGAGGCAGGTGGTGAGAGACAGCAAGTGCAGGGTGGGGTGGAGTTGGAGGGGGAGGGGAAGGGGCTTAGGGTGCCATAACAGCTTTCCCAGCAGCTTCAAGGAGAGACCATGGGGGCTTAAATGAACCAGGGTGGTGGACCACATGGAGGTATTATTTGCTCTAAGGTCTTTGTTTTCTGCTAAAATAAATTTTGAAAAGTTTGAAAATAGTTTCCAACTAGATTTTGAAATATCAAGCAAATAAAATTTGAAAATATCAAGCAGAATTAGATGAATTGGGGGACTTTGAAGACCTTCTTATATCTGAGATCAGGGTAGCTCTAAAGCAAGTTCTGAACAACAGGCATTTAAAAATCTCTTTTCAGAAGGGCAAAGTGTTTAGGGACATTTGGCATGGGGTAGGAGTGTTACAGCTTCATTCCTTCTCTCTTAGCCAAAAACCCCATAGAGAGGGTTATTTTGTTTTTCTAAAGAAGGCTGGGAGGAGCCTCAGATATTACCTATTTTGGATATGGTCAGTAGGTTTGTGTCTCACACTTCACTACCAACTCGATGGTGTAGCCGGCTGTGTTGGGCAGGATTCTAAGGGTACAAGTGCTCTGGCTTCATGCGGGGGTGTCCTCATGCATGAGCAATGTCTTCCCTGGGCATGTTCTAGGAAAAGAAAGCCCAGAGGTGATGTAATTGCCATCCTCATTTCACATCTCTTATTTTACAGTCAAGGAGAGGTTATGCGACTTTCCCCAGCTCATAGGTAGTAAAATTTAGAATTCATGTCCATTGTTCTTTCCACTACTCTTTCCTACATGGAGTTTCACTATGGCTTCTCCCTTCCCTGATCTGAGGTGTGTGTGTGTGTGTGTGTGTGTGTGTGTGTGTGTGTGTGTAAATGAAGAAAGTGGAGAGGGGCGGGCCCTGCCTCTGTAAACCTCTTCCTCTTAAATCTGTAGGAAATGGGCTGTTGGGGAATCAGCTTAACCCTCTGGGCATCAGCTCCTCAGAGGTCAAACAAGGTCAGTCAACTAGCGAATTTCGAAGCACTCTTCAAAATCTGAATGTCTCTTTCATGCCCCTGCACATAGTAGGTACTGCATAAATAGTTACTGAATTGAACTAAAATGGAATTTTCTCCGGGATAGCAGCATTGGCTTAGTCACTTTTTGTGGGAAAGGATCAAGGAGGGAGGCAAAATGACGTGCCTTTGGTCAACACTACTATCTCAAACTCTTCTCTTGATGAATCTGTGGTGTTATGGACTGAATTATGCCCTTCAAAATTCAGGTGTTGAATCCCTATGCCCCCAGCGTGACTGTATTTGAAGAGAGGGCCTTTAAAGAGGTAATTACAGTTAAATGAGGTCATATGGGTGGGCCGCCATCTGATATGACTGGCATTTTTTGTGTTCTTCCTTTGTAAGAACAAAGGCCGGGGCTGCACACGCACAGAGAAAAGGCATGTGAGGACACACAGAGAAGGTGGCCATCTGAAAGCCAAGAAGAGAGGCCTCAGGAGAAACCAAAGCCTTTTGGTCTTAGACTTTCAGCCTCCAGAACAGTGAGCAAATAGATGTCTGTTGTTTAAGCCCCCCTATGCTATTTTGTCATGGTAGCCCTCACAAACTAATACAGATGGTTTCCTCAGTTATCTCAGGACTGGGTTAACAGATCTCAAAGAAGTCCTTTGCTTTAGTTTCTTCTCCCTTTCCTATTAACCTTCTGGTCTCTGGACATTTCACAGATTGTCAGCCCCTGGACCTGCAGAAAAAGCAGCTCCTCAGGAAATCTGGAGCAGAAAGAAGTATATGGCATTTGTCAGTTGGGAAAAACCTGAAGTACTGGAGGGTGGTTGGGTCTTGATCAAAGTCTATGGTCCTGTCCCTAGTGAACTGAGCCTTCCTTCAGTGGATCTGTCCTCTTGCTTTTGGGAAACTCTATCTGTGTTGCCCAGAGCCAGGTATATAGTTTGTTGGTCTGGTAAAATGAGGAAAGGTGGGATTCCTTGTTCAAAGATCATTAAAGATGTCAACATGGTGACCGGAGACCATTCAACCAAACGCCGGGTCTATGTAACCAAGGGGCGCGTCATGGGGAGCCAGTTTGTGCTGCCTCTGCCATGGCCTCCCCAAAGTGAGGAGGCAAATCCACACTGAAATTGTTAATCGGAGCATGTTCTAGAACACATGGACTTTGGGGCAGTTTTACAAATGTGGCCAATATTCAACCATGTCCATTGAGATCAGGACTCAATTTTACCTACAAAGAATGGGTGTCACCCAAAAACTTGGTAATAAGCTCATTTCTCTGAAACAGGTAAAGTTTAAACACCTTTTATTTCAAGAAATATTGCTTCTAGACTTTCCCGAAGCCAGAGTTGTTCTATAAAAGTATCACAGAATATTACACAAGATTAAAAAACACAGTATGCTTCCTAATAACTTGAAACCTTTTTACAAAGTACATCATTCATGACCATAAATATGTTTCTTCTGTCATTCAGCTGGTGACACACACATCTGATAAAGAGCTAGTTAATTTTAACATATGTACAAAGTCTATGATAAAGACTTAAAGTTGTCAAAGGTTCAACTATAACATATTAAATTTTCTTTAAAAGAGTTTACCTTAAACACTTAAAGAAAACATAATTTACCTATGCATTTGAATGATCTAAAAATAGAAAGAAAATCACTGTTAAGCTAAAAAAAAAAGTTCTTGGGAAGTTGGCTAGGGTACTGGTAACTCTCAATGAGGTAATCCTTTTGCTGGTATTTAAAAATCTAATACATAACAAGAATATTTTCAAGAATACAGAATTTCAAAAGCAGTCTCGAATTATGCCTTTAAAAAAATCAGAACTTGGTGAAGTCCTTAAAAATAATCATATAACACATATGGTGTGTTTAAGAGATGAAACATTCATGAGTTTGTTTTATTGAAAAAGATTTCTTATACAAATTCAAGACTAAGCATATTTTCTCTACACTTGACCTGACTTGCCAGGTCAAGAAAACAAAGATAGAAAGGAAAAAAAAAAGTCGTCTGTCCTTTTATCCTGTTAATAAAATAATAAAAATTCAGCAATCTGAAGCGTAAGATGAACACTTTGAGGCTAGGCACAGAGAGAGCAGGCAATCTTGGTTTTGTTGATTTATTTATTTTTACTGCCAACATCGTTAGCCATGCCTTTCTGCTAATCAATTTTAGCAAGTCGAGGAAAACGCATGCAATGTGTTTCTGGCAAAAGCGTACACTGAACAATATGTCATCCGTACTGGGTGTCATTCCTGGGGTCTGCTTCCCAGTGGTCACACTGAAAGCCAGTGAGACTATGAAAATACCCATGGGAAGGAAAAAAAAAAATGACTAACCAAACAGACATGGCATTCTGATCTCAAAGTGCAAAATCATTGAACGTGATGGCACTGAAAAGGTCCAGTGGTTAAAAACGGAATCAAAACCACATTATGCAGGCAGTGGAAAGTGTGCTGACAAATTCATGGAGGGCGTCGAGTTTTAGAAACTCAGAAAGGTACAATTCTAGCCATCTTGATTGGATAATATTTGTATAGACATATCCCTATCACTTTCAAAAGACACCACTGTTTGAGTCCTCCCCAAACAAACAAACGCACACACACAAGTCAACCTTTCTTTCTATTCTTGACACATGGTGAATTACAACGCCGAGTCCCCGCGGGCCTCCTGCTCGCGCGGACGCTGACTTCTGCGCCTGTGTGCCTGGGGTAGCGTACAATGTTGGCTGTCCTGATCATCGTTGTTAGTTTCCTAATAAAAAGTTACAAAAATACTGTGTTTAGGGTAAGGTCACAATGTCCGCTAATTGGAGGAGAGTGGAAAGGAGGCATTGCCTTCTAGACTCTGTAAGCTCCCGTCTTGCCATTCTTCGCCTTGTTCAACATCCGCTTCTCGCCACGGGGGTTAGCGGGCCGCTGCCCGGCAGACGCGTCGATCGTCTGATGAACGGCATCCACATCAGCGGGCCCCGAAAGATGCTGCTGACCTTCAAAAACGTCTTCGCCTGGACCGCCAGCCCGGGGCAGTTCGCGCGGTGGCCAGCTCCCGGGCAGCAGCCGGGGGCCGGGCGGGAGGACCAGCTCCGGGAGGCCATTGCCGCTGAAGTCGGTTTCAGGATGATTTCCCTCTTCGTGCTCCATCCACGTTTCAGTTTTATGATTTCTCCAGTGTTCAGAATTCAAATGACTCGCTTCTGGAATGTCGTTATTCCATTCAAGTTTCGTGTCTGGATTGAATGTTGGTTGGTTCCAATGCAGGGTTGGAAGGTCAGCGGGCAGGGTCCAATGAGGCGCTTCCCCAACGCTAGGACTCGGGTCCTCGTCGGACTCCGCGGAAGCCCCCTCCCCCGGCACCGAGAGTTCAGCAGATCCAGCCGGGAACGCATCGCTTTGAGCAGTCCTAGTCTTATTTGTTGTATTTTGCTCATGGTGGCCGTTCAGCAGTGCAAATACTCTATCTACATCCTTCAAGTAATTAGTCCAGTCAACCAGACTAAGTGTATAGTTTTGTCTGTACTCATAGACACTTTCGTTCACACTGTATAAATCCTCCAGACCTTGCCAGTTGACATCGGCCCCGAGGCTGGGCAGATTAACCTTCCCATCCATCCCATAACTGTCCTCTGTGAAAAGAGAGACGGAGGTAGATTAGTAGAGAAAGTATTTCCTACTCATTGGACAAGCAACTTACATTGTTTTTAACAGGGCAAATCAATTTGAAATACAACGCTGAAGACTATTTTCCCCTAGTCATTTGTTGTCAGGGAGTGGACTTAGGTTACAGAAGCGACTGAACAGTAACACAAAATTGCAAAGAGTTCAAACAAGGGCAAAGTTCTGTGATGAGGTGAAGCTGGTGCTGGAAATGCACGGCATCATCAGTCAGGGGGCTGCTGTTCTACTCCTGGCTCTCCTCAAGTCAACTTTGTGACCAGGACGTCATGTGAGTGAGGCTCTCTGAGTTTCGACCCCTCATCTGTCAGATGCGGGAATAGTTGTGTGATGGAAACTTTACTACCTACCGGGTCACTGGGTGAATGATGAATCTGAAAGGGTTTTAATGAACAGGCGATGCTTAGTCAGACATTTTTATGCTCCCTGGGACTGCGTATAAAAACAAACGTGACTGCAACTGAACTCTTCAAATCTGATGCTTGAATCTGCCTCTCTGATTTTGTTTTTGCCCTAAAAGTTCTATGCTCTAGATAAGTCAATCTTTGAATGGTTTCCACAGTGTACAAAGAACACACCAGCTTTCTCTCTCTCAGATCTTTCTACAACACCAAGGTGGCTCCAGTCCTGTGGAAAATAGCATCTTTTCTTTTGTTATGTCTAAGTACCATTTAGAAAGAGGCAGCCTAGATTAATGTGATCAACTACCCACAAGCAATACGGACCAACAGGAAGAATACGTAAAACTACACAAAACCCACACTCTCAGTAAACAAGAAGATAGAAAATTATGTAATCTTCAAATGACCTGTAAGTTAAAAAAAAAAAGAAAGTTAAAACTGAATCTCGACAGAGCTGTCTGTCACACTTTGGGCACGAGCCTTGGGAAAACAGGACAGACGAGAGAAGCAGGAAATGAGGTCGCAGCCAAGAACTGAGTTGAAGCCATCGCTGGAAAGAATGTCGACCCGATGTAGAAAAGACTGTAAGAATCCTGGTAAACCGCAGTGGTGACAACGAGGAAGAGACTCAGAAGTGGGTATGAATCAAGGTGGCAGTCGGAAAGGCAGGGAGGAAAGGACACAAAGCAAGAAGCAACATCCTTTGGAAACTGGGTGATAAGGGAAAAGGACAGCAAAAGAGGGGAAATGTCAGATCCTGTGAGGAAAAAAGAGAAAGAAGAAATTGGAAACACACCACCTCCCCTATCATCATCCCTAAATAATAATAAAACAAAATAGTAGAAAGAAAGTATCTTGGATACACCCACTAGAAAGAATCCTCTTAAAGTAGAGATCTTGTAAATACTTGAAATCTATGAAATTAAGAAAAACAGCTTAAATCTATACAAAATTGTTATAAAAGAAAATAGAAAATAAGAACAACAAAATCTATCATCTTATGAAAATGCCAAATCCCCTTACGAAATAAACCATAAAGTGAAGAAAATCACAATACAACACTGCCAAGTAAATTAAATATTTTCAGTCAAGCACCTCAGGATATGAAAACCATTTTAAATCAGAAATTAAAGTACAAACCAAGGATCCAAGCTCTTCTTCAAGTATCAAGGTTACAGAAAAACAGGCCTAAAAATTAAAATGTAAGAATGCAGAGAACACTGTCCACATCAGCTCTTCTTGAGCAGTCTTTATCCAACCAAGAAATCACTGGAGCAAAAGGATTGATAGTGAGCGTTTAATGTACTTATCAGATTTAGGAGTCTGATAAAGATAGGAGAAGGTTCGAGAGATAATGTATACATTTTATATGACAAAGTAAAAATAATGTAACTAGAAATGGGAGGAAAGATAGAGAAGTTGAAAGAGAAGCTCACTGAGTTGAAATAATAGTTGGGAGTCAAAGAACTCCATTGAAAACTGACCAATGAGATAATAAAAGGTTAAATAAGAAACAGGGACTAGGGACATTAAAAACGTTTAAGTTCAAAGGCAACCAATAGGACAAAAATGCAAATCCTACAAAGTTCCAAAGCGGGAGGGGAAGACAACCATCTTTATAAAGAAGAAACTACCTGTAAAAGATGCAAAGTGAAATATGTGGAAACATAATAATAAGTGATACTCAATCTAAGACATGTCAAGTGGACTAAAAGTAAGTATGAATCTAGAAGACCTGAGTATATAATCAGTCAGGTAGTTCTCATTTAAATGTGTCCAATAGTATATTCCAAGGGTAGAAGACACACCTTCTCAAACACACATAGAAAGTCACATTACTTGATTATGTGTTCGGTCACAAAAAAAGAATCAGTAAATTGCATAAAACCGAAATATCACAAACACTCTTGACACAATACAATAAAACTAGAAATTAAAAACATTAAAACAACAAGAAAGCCCTTTGTCCTGGAAGCTGAGGTCATCTGGGTGAAAAGGAAAATAGAAACCTAAAAGTGCAGAATTTTAAAAAATGATAATGAAAATGCTGTTTATTAGAAACTATGATGCATAAGGCATTATATTTAGGCATCGTTTAAAGCATTCTTAGCCTTAAACACTTTTATCATGAAAAATAAATGAATTAAACACCAAACTCAAAAAGAAAGAAGATGTTCTTTCTTTCTTTCTGCAGAAAGAACAATGTAAATCAAAAGAAAGCACCAGGAAGGAAATGAGAAAGGTGAAAGCAAAAATTAATGAGGTAGAGAACAGAAGAATGACATACCTAACTAGTAAATCAAAATCCTGGTTCTTTACAAAAGTATCAAAACAGACAATCACTAGTTCAGCTATTTGAGAAAAAAGGGAGAAAGTTCATATACACGAAATAAGAAATGGCAAGGGAATTTGCGACGACGTGGATGGGATTAGAGGGTATTATGCTTAGCAAAATAAGTCAGTTGGAGAAAGACAACTATCATATGATCTCCCCGATATGAGGAAGGGAAGATGCAACGTTGGGCGGTTTGGGGGTAGGAAAAGAATAAATGAAAAAGGATGGGATTAGGAGGGAGACAAACCATAAGAGACTCTTAATCTCACAAAACAGAGGGTAGCCAGGGGGAGAGGGGAGGAAGAGGTTGGTGGGGTTATGGACATTGGGGAGGGTGTGTACTATGGTGAGTGCTGTGAAGTGTGTAAACCTGGCGATTCACAGACCTGTACCCCTGGGGCTAATAATACATTATATGTTAATAAAAAATAAAAAAAAAATGGAATTGTAAACCAGTTAGTAGGTATTTAATAAATTTGTTGAATGACAAAAAAAAAATGGCAAGGGAGAAATAATCATTGAGATATGCAGAACTTAAAACACAAGAGGCCATTTTGTAGACCTCAAAGCAAATGAATTAGAAAACCTAGATAAGAGAGATAATTGCCCAGAAACGTAGTTTATTGAAATTGACCCAATAGAAATTGAAAGTTTAGATAAAACAATTTCCAAAGAAGGAAAAGAAAGGTTATTAAGAAACTACGAAGATGCACCAGGTCCCTATGGTTTCACAGGAGAATATTACCAAGCCTTCAAGGAGAAGAGAATCTGAACACTAGATAAACTGTTTCAAAGCATAGAAAAATCAAAGAAAGTTTCCAAACTCTTTTTATAAAGCAACTATAACATTTTTAGTTGTGGTAGGAAGAAAGATAGCCACATCCTGATCTTAGAGACTGTAGATCTAGTACCTTCCATGGCACAAGGGACTTTTCAGATGTGATTTCAATTATGTTGATATGGGGGAGATAATTTTGAAGGATTTAGATGGGGCCAATGTAACCACGAAGGTCCTTAGTAGGGAAACAGGCAGGGGAGTGAGAAGATGCGAGCTCGGAAGCCTGGGTCTGAGACACATGCTTGCACATGCCCACACAGACATATACAGATTGAGATCTGAAGACCTACACTACGAACTCTGGAGATGGTGGGGAGGGCCCTGGACAAGGAATGTAGGGAGCCTCCAGAAGCTGGAAAAGACAAAGAAAGGGATCCTTTTCTAGAGCTCTTGGAAGGAACACAGACCTGCTTACCCCATGATTTTAGACCAGTTACACCCATTTTGGACTTCCGACTGCTAAAAATGAAAGAATAAATTTGTGTTGCTTAAGACAGTAGGGTGATTTGTTACAGCAGCAATAGAAAACTAATATGATACCTAAAAAGGTAACACTAGTGCAAACAAAAAGAAAATTACAGACTGGTATTATTTATTAATATAATACAAAAATCCTAAGTAAAATATTACTGGAGAGAACTCAATATTAAATTTAGAAAATAACACACAATGACTTAATGGAATGTATTCTAGGAATGAAAGGTTGGCTCATTCTTAGCAAATCCATTAATATAATATATCATTTTTGAAGATCTATAGAATAGAATAGAACAGACTAGAATAGAATAACTTTGGAATAAAATATATCATATTAGAATATAATATATCATATTGGAAGATTGAAAAATTATTTGAGCATCTCCATAGATGCTGAAAAAGGCCTTTGACAAATTCAACATTCATTAGTAATAAAAACACTAAAAAAAAAAAATTCAATGGTTAGTTCCTTAACATGTAAAGATGTGTACAACTTAGTTCTGAAACATGCCTTCTCACTTAACAGGGAAATCTGAGAAGCATTTTCACTAAGATCAGCAACAAGATAACACTGTACTAGAAGTATTAGTTCATTCAAGTTGACAGGAGGGATCAGTCAGAACCAACAAACTGGAAAAGAAGCAAAGCTGGGGCACCTGGGTAGCTCATTTGGTTAAGCGACTACCTTCAGCTCAGGTCATGATCCTGGAGCTCCAGGATCGAGTCCCAACATTAGGATCCCTGCTTAGCAGGGAGTCCGCTTCTCCCCCTGACCCTCTCTCCTCTCATGCTCTCCCTCTCTTTCATTCTGTCAAATAAATAAATAAAATCTTAGACAAAAAGAAGCAAATCTATTTCTATTCACAAATGTATGACAAGTATATCTGGAAAACTCAAGGG